TCTTCATCTTGCACTTATTTGATCTTCTACTAAACTCCTTGCTTTCGTTGCTGCCAAAAAATCATGAGTAAACATGAATTTCTGGTCATTCAGGTCAGTATTCCAACTTTCTTCTTCTGGATTTTCGTATGTAGAAAAATAATCATAATAGTCATCCATTAAGATCAATTACGGAATTAAATTTTTACTAAAAACTGCTTATACTATGTGTTTTGTAGATAATGGCTTTATTTTTTTACAAATAGTCGTGTAGATATTTATTAACCAAATAAAGTTCAAGATCTAAATATAAGAATAAAGTTTGAAGTCAAGACTAAGGTAAAAACAAGATCTATATATACATGTTTTGAAACTAAGATATAATTGATACTATCAAATAAAATATAGTATTAAAGTTTATTCAGTATGAGAACATAAGATATAACGAAATACCACGATGCGACATAAGGTAATTCATATGTGATTTTCGGCGATACTAGGGCTATTATGTAAAGAATCAACACGAGGATCCCTACAAAAAAAATGTAGCTTACATTATAGTTAAAGCTCTAAAACACAATAATGATAAATTGTATATGGCAATGTAATTCGTTATTATTAAAAAACTTCGCTATTTTGGTTGAGTTTTAATTATGAAGTAAGCTATGTTTTTTTGTGGACAAATCTAGGGCTATTATTAAAATATTTTAAACACTCATTACTAATCAGTTTATGCAGAAAAGATTTCTTTTAAAACGAGTTAAATAATAGCCACCTGAAACATTGGTACTGTTCTTTATTTTATTTACATTATGTCATTTAATTCAATTTTAATTATTTCATACTTTTTCAAAGATACGCTCATTACAGTTTCATTATAATTACGATTTTATTACGATTTCAATGTTTTTTTTATTATTTTACAATACAACAAATCTTTTTTTCACACATTTATTTGTATACACTAAATAATACAATGTATTATAAAAAGTTAAATAAAAAAAAATTACGAGAAAAAAAAAATTGATATGATATATTAAAAAATAAATGACTAAAGGTATAGCATTACAACATATTTCATCGAATTTGCTGACTATAATACTGTAACATAAATAAGTTAATAATATCGGACAGTGCGGATCCCGTATCAAAGTATTTCAAAAAAAATTATGAGTGCCACCAAGGGAAAACCTCAATTTGGAAATGGTATCTCCCGTATCAAAGTATTTCAAAAAAAATTATGAGTGCCGCCAAGAGAAAACCTCAATCTGAAAATGGGTCATTTGCTAGAAAAATCACTGTTTGGCACTTGATTTCAAACGGTGATTTTCCTGACAAATGACCCAAATTGTAGGTTATTATTTGACGAACTTAACCCCTGAAAAATCATCAGCGATTCATCAGTGATAACAGTCTTCTAGTACAAAAAGGAATAAATATCAATATGGTAATAAAGCACATTATACCAAAACAACTAGAAGACTGTCATCATTGACGAATCACTGATGATTTCTCAGAGGCTAAGTTCGCCGAATAATAAACTATGATTTCCAGATCGAAGTTCTCTTGGTGGGACTCATAGGATGAATGTAAAAGACCCAGTAGTTATAGTGTGCCTGTGGAATGGATCATATCTTGGGTACTATAGTCCACACTGTAAGATCATATTCACTAGATAAATCAAGTTAAATAAGAAGAATTAGTTCACAAAAAAAAAATTAGATTTTCAAATTATATTTAATAAATAATCATTATGCTTGTCAGCTAAATTAAGAACCAGTTAACAAATCTACACAAATAAGAAATTAATAAGAAATGTCGAATTATTTCAAATTCTTCAATTAATAAATAATCGCTATACTTACTCGCAGTCTGTTGACTAAACCAGCACGAAAAAATTTTAATGAGGCAGATAGATCATTGATAATAGAGAGGAATAAGAAGTGACCAGTCGACTAAATAAGAGTGAACGAGAAAATTATTTTAAGCACCCAATCAATTTTAGCAAGACATAGAGAAAATTTGTCTGCCAGCTAAATTAGAAATAAAAAAAAAAAAAAAATTAATCAAATAAAATCACGACTAATAATAGAAAATCTTTCATAACCCCCATAAAAAAATCAATAAAACTTCTCTGATTAAGCAAAACCCGAAGTTTCAACACAACTATAATAAAGCAAATTTGAAACGCAGCTTTAGTAAAGTTGTCCAAAATTAACTTCCATAATGTGAATTGGCTAGTGCGATCCAGAGATTTTTCATGTCTAACTACAGGAAAGATCTAATATCTTACAAATGGTAACAAATCCTGGCGTAGAAGTTTTGAAAAAAAAAAATGCTATTCTAGCAAAGTGCCGAATTGAAGTTAAAACTCTCACCGAAAATCTGGCTACTTAGGGATTCTTAAATTCTTGCTATAAGAAAGATTCCAAAACGTTAACAAACTTTGAGCCTGGCATTATTTTCCGTTTACATATAAATTAGGTTTCAAACTTATACTGTTGATATAGCGAAACCCGCAGAACAGCGTTATATAGAAGACAATTTTAATATCTTTCACATGTCAAGTAGTTCGATTAAGAGCAAATAAAATTTTTCTAAAATTTTCATAGTAAATTTTTAAAAATTGATCTACATTTTACTATAATTTGGCGCTCACATATATGAACATGTGACATATTCCCTGACTGATAGTGTAACATGACACGGTTTACTTATAGAAATTAGGGGTTTGCGAATATGAGCTGCATTATTCTAAAACTTTTTTTCGTACTAAGTTAACCACCTTTGGGCTTCTAATTGAAGTTGTAGAGCTCGTTG